TTACAATACTTCCTTTACTTCGTACAAGAAAGTAAAAACATTCAAAACAATTGCTCCTCTTACCGATTTTGCAGCAGAATTATATTCCTGCATAAATTTTACCGCGTTTGACTCCAGATATCGCATAGCCTAAAATCTTTTCAATTCCGTTAATGTATCTTTTCTTTATACGTTCTACAGTTATAAGTACATGCGAGTGGGACACCAGAATTTTATCATAGTTGTACAGGTATAGTCCCACGACACTAATTATACTACTACTCCGTCCCAGTTTTGAAGAAAAACATTCCGGAAATTTTTCAAGAGTGTATTCTCCTCTTCCCTTACTTGGAGGCATATACGGTTAAAATTCCGTATAAGGATCCGATACGGGTACATATAGGGATAAATTACAGTTATAGAGAGATCGGACAAAAAGCTCGCCATATAGTCGCTAAATTTGGCGACTTTTGGAGATTTCTCGCCAAATTTGGTGAAAAATTTAGTCCCTATAGCCATTACCAGCTTGGCGATATTTCGCCAAGATAACGATTTACCTCTGTATTAAATAGACTTACCCCTGTAGTGTTATTTTTCCGGCAGAGCTTCGCTTTTCCTGAAGCCGTTCATGCTACATTATACGAAATTCGTAGCAGCTCATTCCAGAACAATTTCTATCGTAACGGATACTTCGACAATGCTATGCTACACATAACAAAATCATTGAAAACTAGCAGCTGACTTAAAGCGTTATCACATACGATATTTGTTGCCGGAACAAAAGGTTTGGTGGAACAGTTCTGAGAAACGCTCTTTGGCGAAATAGGGTTACCATCTTCACTTGGTAAACAGGCTGAAAACCAAACAAGAATCAGTTATCGCTCAGATTGGCGAAAGTGACGTTTCCTGTCAAGTGACGTTTGCTTCTTCCGTGTTGTTTTCTATCGCTCACACTCTTTTCATTTTAAACTTTATTGTTAGTAATGGAAGATAATAGAAAGGTGATTGCTATCAAGTTAACCACTTTGATCTCCACTCTGGCACTTCGAGTAATAATAGTTAAACACACTTCTGGTTATAGCAATCAATTACATCAGTAATAGCCCAATTCTGTATACACTAAGAATAGTTTAAAAACGTATGCTGGATAAGTCTATCTATTAGACATCACTTATGTGTATTTTCTGTTGTCTTCATTTCAATGAAAATTTGATGGCTCACTGGAAAATTTGTGATCCGGTGAAATCATTCTCTTGACTAACTTTATGGCTCATAATTACTGTTCTGTTCATTCAAACAAGCAGAGGGGGGGGAAGGACCTTCTATGACAAAAATCTATATGGCTGATATTTCCATCCTTCCAGCCAGCAGATACTATTCAGCAAAATGAAGATCAAATAAAGCATATGAATACATGAGCAATCAAACATGTGCGAGTTGTTTACTGTCCCGTAGAACACTCGGTAATATACCTAAAACACATTAATTATACCAACTCTAGAAATTAGATATGCACATCATGAGTTTGTTTTATGTGATTACGGCAAAACCTCGAGGGATATCTGCCTAACGGGAGGGATCTCTTTGTAGATGATTTTTTTAAACTGGCTCGAATACCAGTTACAAATGGGGAAAACCAAGAAAACGCCCATGTAGCCAGCCCGTTCACGGCATTCTAACTTGAGACCTACCAGTGTTCAACGACGCTTCGGCCACTAGTAGGCCCGTGCACTTAATTGGAAAATACAATTCATTATGTAAACAGATATGAAGGTGATAATCAGTTGTGCATTGTTTTAAGTAATCAAATGTTATAAATGCACAGCTGTTATATTTCTTATTATTTATTAGTCATGCTTATATTACGTAGATCATACATATAATATAATTATGAATTAACCCAATAACAAAATGTGTACACGCTTTAGTACTCAAATGCTCATCAATTATTTTTCAACTGATTATTACATATCCATAATAATTTGCAAAGAACTGATGACTACAGTTGCTGCCAATTACATGATCGTTATATGAATTAAAAGTAACTTCAAATAAACTTTTTGGCAATGTTTATTTTTGTATTCATACATACATATATATACACATCTAATAAGTCATATATTTACATAAAAATAGAGAGATGCGATGGTTTAGAAGTTGTTAATATATATTTATTAGTATTAATGTAATGAATAAGATTCATATTAATGAATGTATATATAAATGTTTTTCATCATGAATAATAATAAATCCATAAATTTCCAATGTTTCAATATGTAGCATTTACAATAAAAGTATAGTTTGTAATGCATTTATAATCCAAAAAGTATTTCATTAGTAACATGAAAGTAATAGACAAATTTAATGAGTATCATTATTACATAAGCTATGCTTTTATTTTTTATGCATCTTTTATGCTGTTTAAAATGCGTCACTGATTATGCAATTAACAATTTAAAAGATAAGTAATTAGGAGAAAAGCCACGCATATACAAACGGATTTAAAAAAAAAATTGTTCAACTTAAATTTAAGAAATAAAATTCTATTATATAAGTGACTAGCAGCTTCGCTGCCAGCCTTCGTCTGGCTTTTAAATGTACCGGAAAAATGGCTGAAGGGAAAACCAAACGTTAAATTTAAAAACTGTGTGGAATTTTTCTCTGCAGAACAACTTCATAAAAAAAATTTATTACGTATAACAGAATTGCAATGAAATAAGCAATATGTCTTAATACAAATATTAATTATCCTAATAAATAAATTAACCAACTTCCCTTTGCAAAATCGTAAGAACTCAAATGGTATAAAGGAGGTTAAGAACTTTGTTTCCTAAAAAAATCACTCAAAACTTTTCAATATTTTAAAAACAGTGAAATGAGCAATAAATAACATAAATGAATACAAAAAAACAAAAAAATTCTGAAAAGCAAAGTATAATTAATGATATTTTATCACATATTTTCAAGAGAAAAAAAATACAATGAAATAAGCTATATCCAATACAAATATTAACTATCCTAATAAAAAAATTAACCAACTTTCGTTTAAGAAAAAAAATCATGCAAAACTTTTCAATATCTTACAAACAAAAAATAACATGAAAGCAACTCAAAAAACATAAAATTCCGCGCAGAATTTTACTCTGCAAAACAACTTTAACAAAACAAAAAAAAAAAAACAAAAAAAAAAAAAAAAAATCAATAAAAATGTATTTATATATATATATATATATATGACAATGAAATATGCCAATCTCTTAAAACAGTGACATAAGAAATACGATGAAAAATTGTTACCAAATCCATATTTCTAAAAGAATGAAACTATCCAAAATGATGCGATTTCATCAAAAATCTATCAACAACAACAAGACTGGAAAATTGTTGCCAAAATCACATTTTTAAAGATGTGAGATCTGAGAAGGGTACTCGAGAGTTTCATTTAAAAAATCTTTTAAAAATACAAAATATTATCATTTTTCCAAAATTCCTTTGTAAAAGCATTCGCAAGGATGAAAGTTTAACGTGTCCAAAAATCAAAGAAAAATAAATTGTACATTTATAAAAATAAACGATTTTAATTTCGAAAAAATCGCTTCGAGGTGCACTGGCTCTTGTCTAGATGCACCTATGTACCAAATTTCTGAGCCGTGGGTCTATTAGCTTACGCGCAGCGCGAACGAAAGACACACACACAGAGACAGACTCTTTATTTTATTATATGTAAAGATAAAGATAATACACAATCAGCACGAAATAGGACAAATTTGGCGAACTTTTGGCGACGAACAATTTGTAAACAAATCCGAAATGCAAGAACGTCGTAAAATACTGTCAACTCTGAAATTTTCCCGATTATATATTTAATGAGTATATAAACATTTTTAAAATGACTCAGGCAGTTATATTATTACAACAAAACAGCAATAATTAAATCGGCCTCTATTTCCACCGTCCATGACTTCACAGTGAGAGCCATCGCCATATTGAAAGTTACCCGTGATCCTTCAGAAGCAGAACTTTCGTCTGATTGGTTGAACGTTCGAGGAACACGTCTCCAGCCGAAACATTTTCGGAAAAGTTTTAAAATGTTGCTCGTAGCCGGGACATGTTCTCCTAGCTAGACAAAACATTTCTCGGAAGCCTCCCGCTTAAAGCAGTGCTAGCAGAATCTCGTTTCTCGGAATTGTCCCGGGTAAGCGCGCGCGTCCCTAGAAGTGATAGCATCTTTACACAAACGTTGATACTATCTGGCTATGAAAACCTAAACATGTTACTGGCAATAAATAATTAAAGAATATTGTTACGAAATTCCCTGCTGGTGAAAGCTGCGGAAAAATAGCTTCTCTGCAAAGCGAGGATAGGGTTGCCAGAAAGTGGCAGGGTTGAAAGATGTGGCGCGAAATCGCGCAGACATTTGCCGACAAAATTGACGATATGTCATGGACGAAACAAGAACATTCTAGAACGCATTCTTAGCGGGTTTCCTCGGAAATGTTCTTGAAAGCAGGTTAAAGCTATATATACCCTGCTTGTACGCCAAGGTAGTAGTATCTTGAATTCAGTAGCGTAGTAGTGACTTGAGTTCAGAGATTAGCTTGAGAGCAACTGGGCCGAGTCGGGAGCTGTGCTTAGTGCTTTGCTGTGAAGTGAAAACGTACTTAATGAAGCTGCCTTCACCTTTATAGTTTGAAGGCTATGTTGCTGATTTTTTCAGCGTATTTATCGTAGTTTTTAGATGATTGGAAACGTTTCTTGGAACTGTCCTGTGTAATACTGGCCAATAAATCGTGTTTTGATTCTTCATCAAGTGTTATCATCAATTACTCCAAATCCACAAACCTGTAGTAAGCAACAATATTATTACACTATACAGATATCTGTAGTGTAATAATATTTTTCAATTATTTATTTACTGCTTTTTTTTGTTTTGTTTTGCTTGTATAACTTGTAATTGAAGAAGCCGCAATGTCTAAGTTTGTTTCATTGTATGTATGTAGCTCGCTTGTTCTTCATTTCAGGAACGATTAAGTATGTTCATCGTAACTGTCTCGAGAGGTGGCTAGAATCAACAAACTGCGAAACGTGTGAACTGTGCCATTTTCATTTCCATACAAAAAGGACTCGCAAGGTAAAGCAAAATTTGACATCATTTCAGTCTTCTGTCCATCTGCAGATTTTAAAAAACGGTCCTTTATTTTGCTAGCTTGTTTACCAATAAATCTAAACTTATCTATCCTCTTATTTTATATTATCCCTGAAAACTTCTTTGGATCTAATGAAATTAGATTCCTGCTGCTAAACATTAGTATAGCATATGAGCTATTTCGTGCAGAACTTCTGTAGTTTTATGCATTTTTTGCCTTAGTAATAAAAGACTTGGGGATACAAGTTTTATGCAGAATAGATTAGGAAAGAAATTCTGAAATTTTCGGGGATAAAATAATATGTGAGAACTCTTAATTATTTTAATCTCCATCAATTGTTCCTAAACGGAAATAGTTTGGACGTCATAAAAAAATATGCCCAAATTTCTTGATCTTATAACAGTTTTCAACATTACAACTTTTAGAAAAAATAATTATTATTAGCTGCTTTTTAGGTAGCTCTATATTTTTGTAACCCAGAAATAGGTGAAGGACCTATCTTTAAACACTAATAATAATGAATTTAATTGACAACCACAAAAAGCTGAATAAAAATATATTTTATTCAAACCAAATTCATTAGGTAGTATGAAATGAGAAGTTAATCACAGTGAACTAACATACCTTTTTCGTAAACAAAAAGAGAATTTTTTTCCCCCAATTTTTAATTCTTACTTTTTTTTTTCTTTGGATTTAGGCCCAGGAACCAATATATATGTAGACATCATCATTTTTCCATTTCGATGAAACTACTTGTTCTGTTATGTATAGAGTACATTAAGCATAAAACCAAAATTTCGTATCTGTAAATTTCCTCTGCCAACTGCCAACAACTCGAGAAACATTGACACTGTAGATAATGTTATGCCTTGAGCAGAATAAATATTGACATCGACAACTGTCCATCTGAAAACATGAAAGTTTTATCTTATTCCATCTTTTAAAAAGCAGTTATAAAGTTCTGTAGTGGCGCACTTTTTTCCTCCTATTTAATATATTGTTACGAAATGTACAGGCGCCGTGAGATAGCTTCCCCGCAAAGCAGTTTTAGGGTTGCCACAAAATAGCAAAGGAAAGCAGAGTTGCCCCATTTGGCGAGAAATAGCCCGTTTGGCGATATTTGGCGACAAAATTGGAGATAATCAATGGACGGATGGAGAATCTTCTGGAACGAATAGTTAACGGTTTAGCCCAGAATGTTCTCGAACACAAACCGAAAGCTATATAAACCCTGCTGGTCCGCAGTCAGTTAATGTGTGGTTCGCATAGAGTGCGAGAGTCACTGTCTTGCCTAGCAAGCTGATAGAGAGTGTGTCGCGTCAGAGAGCGAGTTCGTTACTATCGAGTTGATGTCTCATCTAGGGAGTCAGTTCGTGCGGAGTCGATCGAGTTGACAGCCGGGCAGCGAGTGCCGAGTGGGTCGTCGAGTGCACCGAAGGAGTCTGTTAGTGTATCGCGGTTAGTGCATCGTCGAGAGAGCGTGTTGAGCTCCGGGACCGAAGAGTCGGGAGCTGTGCTCGTGTGTCGTCGAGTGCATCTCGAGTTGTACAGTGGAGTGTCTCGAGAGTACGTGGAGTTCCGAGAACGACCAAGCAGAGTCGGGAGCTGTACTCTGGCGCTTTGCAGGAAGCTGTCTCCACCGTTATTGCCTGACAGTGTGAAGGCTGTGTCGCTAATTGTTCCAGCCTGTTTATAGTAGATCTTCGACGACTGTAAAAAGTGTTATTGGAGCTGTCCTGATTAATATTGGCTAAATAAAGTGTGTTTCGATACTTCACCAAGTAGTATTGTCATTATTCAGTGCAAATCCTCAGGAACCCAGTACGAACGTGAAGGGAGAAAATAACATAACAATATGAATACTTAAAGAAATATTGGGTTGTCCGGAAAGTTCGTGCCGATTTTTAAGGAAAATTAAAATGCCGAAGATTCAAATTTTAGTACATATTTATTACATTATATAGGTGCCATTCTGTTCCACAACCTTTCTCCATATTTCAAGCAACTTGAAAATTCCGTCCTTCTAGAATCTCTGAGGTTTTTTAGAGAAACCTTTCTGCGTGATTTTTTTATCTCTACCAAAGAGTTGAAGTTTTTTCCAGTGATGGAATTTTGTAGATCAAAATAGGTGGAAATAAAAGAGTTCGAGGTCTGACGCATATGGTGGAAAGGGTAGAACTTCACAGTCAAGCTCCAGCATCTTTTGTTGAGTTATCAAAACACATGAGGCTGCGCATTCTCCTAATGAATACAGCGCCCTTTCGATTCGCTTTTTGTTGGATTGCGTCTTTAATTCATCTAATTGAGAACAATAGTTCTCTGAATTTATCATCTCGTTATTTGGTAAAAGCTCATAATACAGGGTACCTTTCCAATCACAGTCAAACATAAAGTACGACCTTCTTTGGATAAAGACCTTTTTTGAGGTGCCTGAAGGTGGTTCATTTCACGTTCCCTAAGATCTTTTCGCTCAACATTATTATAAATTATCCATTTTTCATCCACCGTCACTGCTTGCTTCAAATATGGTGTCTCCTCGTTGTGTTTATAGAGCGAGTTGCAAATGGAAATGCGATCCATGAGATTTTTCACCGTTAGCACGTGGGGAACCTATACATCAAAGCGGTTTATGCAGCCAAGCTTCACAAAATGCTTATGGACAGTGCATTTTGACACGGTGTTTTAATCTAATCTTCATCTGTGGTGAAGGGCCTACCCAGCGTTCTTGATCTTTCAGGTTCAGATCACCAGTTTTAAACCTCGCAAACCACTTCCGCACAGTTCTTTCAGCTGCAGTACCTTCGCCATTAACAGCGCATGTCCTGTGTGGGATTTCTACATTGGTAAAAGAAAATCATAAAATGCATTTTGTTTTCTTCCATATTGAAAGGGGTATAAAACTGACAAAAATTAGCATATTATAACCAAATGTTTTTCCAAATATGCCTTAAATTCCGTCTTTTACGATATGTGTGCATATCATTCGGTTTCAATAGTTCTGCTATAATCAGACCTGTCCTTACGCCACCTGCCAAAAATCGGCATGAATTTTCCGTGCAACAAAATAGATATTTAGCATTTCATGTGCTGAAGAATTCGCGTATAAACTCCATTAAATATCAATCACAAGAATAGATGTATCATGCTTGATAATTTCTTTCATGGTCACGCGAGGAATACTTAATAACAGTGTGAAAAATTCTTAACAGCTGTGAAATTTAAATACAGTCATAAATATTCAGCGTATGTTTGCAAAAAGATTAAAAGGTCGAATAAAAATATTATTTGCAGCTTGCTTGTTTGTTTAGCTTATTATGGCAAAGCACATGAGGGCTTTGGGCAAATAGCCTAGTGAATATCGGCCAGTTTCTCTCAAAAAAGCCGTGGAGGACGTTCTGAGAAAAATAGCTCGAAATCACGTTGCAAATAGAGGAAATTACGTGCAGCTAGTCCTTTCGGCGGGATTTCAAACCGCAGTAAATTACAAGCATTCAGCGGTTTTAACTACTTGGCCACCCGAAGGAACAAATTATTTAAAAAAAAAAACTCTGTTTTCAGCTCTTGCTGAAATGAATAGCATTAATGTAAAAAAAGTATATCTGCAGTAGAGTCTTGATTATCTGACATAAATAAGAATACAGGGAAATCGAGTAAGTAGCGTCGAATGATACGAAACCACCAAGAAACCGGTTTTGAAATAGATATACTGGACAAAAAGTATTTTATTACAATTTTAGCGCAATAAAAGACATAACTGGTGAACGTCGGGAATAAATCGGCAAGCAATATAGTAGAAGTAGTAACATGATTTTCTCAGAAAATAAAAACAGGTTCATTGTTTGCATAATACTGTAGTTTGAAACTGTACAACAAAAATGACGTGCATTACGAGGGATGTTAAACAAAGCGTTAATATATTCTCTATAAAGCGCAAAAAGTAAATTTAACAAAAAATAGTAGTTAATATTAGTTTGTTTTCCCAGATGATTCCGCTAAGTTGCAGACACCTTACCTTGGAGGTGCAGTATTATGCAGTATTATGCACCTCCAAGGTTTCCCTATCGTCAAATGAAGAAAGTATCAGTGCTAGTCACCTCAGTTTACTTTCCATGTACATAAAAAATGCTTTAATAACCTTCATTCCATCACTTCGTAGTTAATTCCTAACAGTTATTCTTCTGCCGCCGAAATTAGACGCAACTTCTTGCATCGAGTCAGCTTTATCTTATAGGCCTGAAGTTTCAGTTTGATTGCTAAGAACCACTTTTTCTCTTTGACATATGTTTCAGTATAATACAGAAAAAGACACACGTTAGACTAAAATATGAGCGGTTGGAACTAACAAGAGACAGTGAAAAATTTAATATTGCAATGACTTATAGACCAATTTTACATTATTTTTATTACCAAAAACGTACGTAAGTAACGCTTCAGAAAATATAAAAGTACAGTTAACTTTGAAGTCATAGATTTGATTAACTTTCATTCGTACTTGTCAAAAGATAAATATCCTCAGTTATGAATTTTTGCAAAAGGAATAATCTTTTTGTTGGGAGTACATTTATATGCGAATAGCTTTTTGTTCAGTAGGTAAAAATTAAATTAGTCTCATGAAGCACACATTAGTAAATGACCATCCACAATTCGTGATGAAGATAATTTCTAGGAATTTTTGTTCAAGTTACAAATTTTATCAAAATCGAAATGCCGTGAAAGTTGTAGCAAGAAGTAAAATAGTATATAATTATTTAAAATATTTACATTACATTTATGAGTATTTTTTCTGTATGCGTCGAACTAAAATTTAATAAATACAAGAAAGAGAACAAACTGGCATTGTTTATTTTTAAGTTTTGGAAAGTTTCGTAATCCGTTTATTTTAACATAAAAGTAGGTTATTTAGTGATTAATTCGACGGTCTGTCTGAAAGTTTACTACTTAGCTGAGAGTACGTTTGACTCTCAATCAATAGAATAGAGTGCAA